TTGACCAAACCATGGATTTTTTTCTTCAGTCGTTCCCAGTTCATTCTTTGATATTGTTCACCTTGCTGTATTAAAGAAAAGATTATCAGAAATTTTCGTAAATCTTGGAAAGGATAACCTTGTCTTGTATCTGGTCTTGCAGCATACGAAGTTTTGCAGGAGGTATGTAAGCTCCCCCAGTTCTTGTTCTAAGCAAATCCAAAGGTTCTTTCTTTTCCTTCTTCTCTTCTTCCGCCTTTTCTTCAGCTTTTTTCTGTTCATCCTTCTTCTCAGGAGATTTCTCCCGGCGACGTCGGCTTGCGGGAGAACGGTCTCCTCTTCTTTCCTTACTAAAGCTCCATAAAATATTGAAATCAATAATATAGAAGAATATTCCATACCTTCTACTCCTCGTTCTAGATCGCTTCCTTTCTCGGCGGTCTCGGTCTCTTCTGTCATCTTTGCGTCTAGAATGGCGGTTTTCACGGCTCCTTTCTCTTCTTCTCTTTTCACGGCTGCGGCTACGCGACTTGGAGCGACTCCGCGACTAAAAAAAATAACAGCTAACAAGCTAATAAATACGAGATTATAGCTTAGTACGCGTTTCCTGATTAAACGAAAATTTGCAATAAAATTGCATTAGGATATATGACGGCAAATGCAAAAACTTAACAAGTGTAAAAAATTGGTACCCACTCTTGCTCGACGTTTCTCAGAGGAGTCCTTAGCGCGATCATCAGTCTTCTTTTTAGACCTCACATCTTCGCCAGAACTCGGAGGAGAGCGGACTTCATCAACCGATTTGCTGCTACTTCTTGAGGCTGATTTCCTCATCTGAATTTGGCGGTATTAAAAAGTTTCTATTCGAGCTGGTGTGGTACAAGAAGATGTGATCGTCGTTATACATATCTTTCAGGAATAAGGAGAGGGAAAGTACATACTCTTCTCCTCCAAACGTGATATTTTCAAGTAAAAATTTACTAGAAGCAACAAAGATGATATTAATCAAAAAATCGAGTTGCTCCATTGCTTGTGCACGCACCTCGGATCCCTGCACTTCCGAAGGTTTCGACCGTTCGTCTTCCCCCAATTTCTTTGAGGCTTCAATGCCATCGGGACTA